CCACCAACCCCATCTCTTCTCTCCCTCTCGAGTCCCAGCTGATTGGCTGGGTCTTCTTTGGTTGCCCTGCAAAGGAGAATGGAGCTGGAAAGCAGGTTAGTGGGGTGGGGAGGGAATGGGGATTTTGCAGGAATCTTCCCTTGGAGCAGGGTGCGAATGGAGATTTTACAGTATCCTTCCCCTGCCACGCCCACCAAGCCACGCCACGCCCACCAAGCCACACCCACAGAACTGGTAGTAACTTTTTTTGAATTCCACCATTGCGTGAAAGGCCTTGCCTCAAGAAGTTGCTCCATCCCTGGAAGTTTTTAAGAAAAGATTGGACAGCCATTTGTCCAGAATGGTATGGAGTCTGCTGCTTGAGCAGGGGTTCGACTTGAAGACCTCCAAGGTCCCTTCCAGCTCTATTCTGACTGATGGATTGCTCTGATGGACTTTTCAATGCCACAACATCGTCTTTCTTCATTGATGAGATAGGTTGATAAAGAAACCCTTCTGAATTCGCAAACTGACAAACCGCAGCTGTAAACAGAACTCACATTCACTCCATTGTGGCTGTAAGCAATCTTATTCTTGGTCCCAACCTTTCATCCAGATGCCCTATGGGTTTTTCCTACAGAGCTCAGGGTGAACAACCGTCACAAATGAAGCAAGCAATATTGTTACTACAAACTAACTGACAAGAGCTATACCACCACCACCCGAAAAGAAAAGAAAAAAGCCAATGCAGTCCTAGGCTGCATTAATAGAGGGATTGAATCAAGATCACATGAAGTTCTACTACGGCTTTACGAATCATTAGTAAGGCCACGCTTGTTGAGACTCTGAAAGCAACGCAGAGAAGAGCAACAAGAATGATTTGAGCAGGGGTCTTCAAACTTGACAGCTTTAAGAGTTGTGGACTTCAACTCCCAAAATTCCTCCTTCAGTCATGTTAGCTGAGGAATTCTGGGAGTTGAAGACAGCAAGTCTTAAACTTGCCAAGTTTGAAGACCCTTGGGATGGAGGCTAAAGCATACAAAGAATGGTTACAGGAATTGGATACGACTATTCTAATGAAAAGAAAGACAAGGGGAGATATGATAGCACTGTTCCAATAGTTGAGGGGCTCCTACAAAGACGAGGGGTTCAAACTATTTGCCAAAGTGCCAAAAGGCAAGACAAGAAACAACTCAACAAGGAGAGAAGCAATTTAGAATTAAGAAGAAATTTCCTAATGTTGAGAGCAATCAACCAATGGAACAGCTTGCCTTAAGAAACTGTGGGTGCTCCATCACTAGAGGCTTTCAAAAAGAGACTGGACAGCCATTTGTCTGAAAGGGTATAAGGTCTCCTACTTGAGCAGTGTTCTGGTTAGCCGGCAGCAGGTGCAGACGGCCAAGGAGATCAAGGACTCAGATGAGGGGCCAGGACCATTAGGGAGTGGACTGCTGCCTTCAGAGATTGTGGGGGCTAGCAGCAATGATGAGGAGGTTCCCGAGGAGCCTGTGCCAAGTGCAAGTGCACACAGGGGTTGCTCGCAGGAAAGAGCCGCTGCAGCAGCACGGAAGTAAGGCTGCAAGGTAATGGCCCCTCCTTCAAGAAGATAAAAGACAGCTGTGAATCAGACGTTCTTTGCAGGAAGCAAAGACATTTTGAAACTCCAGCCTCGTGGACATTGCAGTATCTTAAGTTGGTATTTGACGAGTCTTGTGTTGTAAAATATCTCTAGGTAGCCTTATCTGTGATTCTTGGCAGCCTCGCACAGTTTTGGCAAGGCTTGTGCTTATCAAAGTTAATTAGTTTGCAGCAGCCTTTTAATCAGGGATTCATAAGAATCATTAAAAGGTTTCTGTTCCCTTTGGTTCATGTTTGTTTTATTGGACAAGGGTTTGGGTCAGAACAAGCAGGGTTTGGACTAGAAGATTTCTCAGGTCCCTTCTAACTCTATTATTCTAACAGTTGCTTGCCATCTCTTCAATCTTCTCCTCCCTTGCCAAAGCTTCTTCCCGGTCTCTAGCTAATGCTCCAGGAGTTTGAAAAGCGAAAAGCGAGATGTTTTAAATAAGATATTGCCGAAATAGTTCAATCACTGGAAGTAGGGTTTTTATCTCTATAAATCCATCTCGAGAAAATTTACATTGATGGAAGATTTGATAGGAGAATATTTTACTTATGTAAAATCATCTTGGGAAAGTATACTTTGATAAAGAGGTTTGACACTAGAATATTTTACGATTGGTGAGAGGAATCTCTTCAGGTTTTCTGCCTATAAGTATCCGTCAAACATGAGATATGCCCCACGGTGTAAATATTAGATTAGGAAGACTGTAAAAGGCCACGAAATGCTAAATATATTTCAGGCATCTGATAAGGACAGTTCAGTCTATCTTTATTCATATGATCACTCCAATCGCAAAATCTTTGCAAGCTTTGATATCGTAATGCATTCAGAATGTGACTGTGAAGCTAACTTTAGCCTCCTTTGACCTGCTTTGCCTATTTAAACAATAATAAATTTGTGCTTTAATTGAAACAAGAAAGCAAAACAAAGCAGAACATGACAATTAGTAGCCCAGAGAAAGATTTCAAGATCAAGGCTATGAATTTAAATATAATTTCAAACATTCTTTATTATGCCCCAAAATTATTTTCATTCGTTGTTCAATCAGATCTGAGATGTGCAACGGATATTTTGAATGTCAAGAATGACCATACCTGGAATACTGCAACCAACTTTGGTCACCACACTGTAAAAAAGAGGTTGAGATTTTGGAAAAAGTTCAGAGAAGAGCAACTAAATTCCCCCTTAGTTCTAGGTTGCTTCTCTCATTGATTAGTTTCCATCCGTTGCTTCTTGTCCTGCCCTCAGGGGCTTTGGAGAGTAGCTTGACTCCCTCTTCTTTGGGGCAGCCCCTGAGATATTGGAAGACTGCTATCATGTCACCACTAGTCTTTCTTTTCATAAGATTAGACGTAGCCAGTTCCAGCAACCTGGAATTATGAAGGCAGAAACACTTGGCCAATAAAGAATTCTTCTATTCTATTCTATTCTATTCTATTCTATTCTATTCTATTCTATT